TGGTAATCATAGCTAACATGGAGTCCATGGATTGGAAAGACATTAAAAAATTTGGTCACACAATTGAAACATCCGGATTACTAACCCATGAATTATGTGAACACTACTCAACCACTCAATGGATGACTCGACTCAACGATCTGGTATTTACGGGCCGGGAGTTCGCGAGTAAACTAACTGTTAGAAAGGCCCGGGTCACAAAAAGGGTCATAAGGGTGTCACAAAAAGTTGATGACCGGGTCAGTCAAATACCGGGGCTCGGAATCATTAAAACTGCTATTGAGTGTAAAACATTGGGTGTTGTTAAGAAAGTCTATTTTAACCCTGGATTAGTTAAAACCCAGAATAGACTTGGTAATATTTTTCGATGTATCAAAAAATGAACAATAATTATAAATTTTAAAACACTAAATTTTAAATATATAAATTTATAATATTACTTAAATTACGATTATAATATCATAATAATTATTTCATACTGACACTTTTGTAATAAGCAATGTATGACTTAATAAAGTGTAACTACTTAAAGGTAACTTTACTCAGAAACTACAGTAATCAAAAACCTAAATTAATTTTAATACAAATTTAAAATTCTTACAACAGAATAATAATTAATACCATTTGAATAAAATGTAAGATATTTATAATCTATTGCTATAGAAATGACATTTTCATAATAAATAACAGAATAGTTATAAAGTTTCACAATATTTATGAAACATTATATCACTGATAAATATAATAAAAAGTGATTTATATACACAAAAAATTAAAACACAAATAATGGATGCCAATATTAATGTCTTAAAACAATTTACTAATAATTTAAAACAATTATTGCTAGTTAATAATTTAACTACCGTGAACGAGCTTGCTCATTTATTAGTAAGTAATATTTTATTAATTTAATATAATATACTGTACATTTAAAAAAATTAAATACTAATTTAAACCTAATATAAAAACAAAAATTAATAAAAAAACTATTAATTCAGAGAAATCGCTCGGAAACTGACAGTGAAAATGAATTATTACTAATCATAGCTAACATAGAGTCCAGCGATAGGACAGACATCCAGACATTTAGTCAGACTATTGACAATAACCCGGGTCTCATAACACTAGAACTACGCGAATATTATTCCGACTCCAAATGGATGCCCAGATTTAGAGACCTGGTCTATACGGGCCGGAAGTTAACCCCGAAGCTGACCGTACAAAAGGCCCGTAAAATAAAGTCCAATAAATACGGAGATGTATACCCTATGACACGGAGGGTCAGGGGTTTCTGTATTATCATTAATAACCAGTGGTTTGTAGACCTGAAGTTTAGGAGTGGCTCTCGATCCGATGCCTACCGACTGTCCGATGTGTTCAGTCAACTCGGACGGACAGGTAGTTCCCGTGGATACTATTTTGGGTTATTTTAATAACGATAACTGTCGGGTGCTCTATAATAAGCCTAAGATGTTCTTTGTCAGCGCCTGTAGGGGACGTATGTGTGAATTAATATATATATTTGATTTAGATTATAATTATATTAAATAATAGTTGATAATTGTAGATAAGCCTGACCTTGGTGTGTTGAGACCTTTAGGTAGAAGTCCGGGTGAAAGTTCTGTGAGGGGTTTGTATGCCACCGGAGGGTCAATACCTACGTGGAGTGATATGTTTGTCTATTATTCAACTATAGAGGGTAATTTAATATATCATACAAATACTATTATTATATTAATACCAAATAGACTGTAACTTAATAATTATCTATAATATGCGATATTTAAATAAATAAGTGTTTCATATTATTTTGGAAAATTCTCCACTATATATATATGAATATATATGTGTAGGCATATAACTAAATCAGACTTTTTGGAAAATAGCATTTACTGTATTTTATACTTTTATTAAACTTTTATAATGAATATACACACTCAGAAGTTTACTAAAAGTATAATATACAGTAAATGCTATTTTCCAAAAAGTCTGATTTGGTTATATGTCTACACATATTATACTGGTATATACTCACCAGTATATTCTGAATTTTTCAATAAAAACTTGTGTCTTTATTTTAAACATTCATTTTAAGTTATTGATACTAAATAGATGCATATAAGGTTATATANCAGGGATTACACAGGATATGACCGCTGGGTATAGTAATTGGGTTGAGGGTAGTCCTCAAGAAGAGTGGTATTCCCGATCGTGTGTCCAGATATCCATTTCCAGCTATAATTACGGCAAATGGTTTGACGAGCCGTGCAGTCGCCGAGCACTGGTAGTCTGCGAGCGCCGGCAGGAGTGGACTATTCATACATTGAGCACAGCCTTAGAAAACGTGACAAACCTTTTGAGTAGACAACAGGAGGTCAATGCCAGACAATGGGAGGTTATCGAGGAGTTACGTCAAAATATGACCTATATCATATCCCAATCAATAGACACAAACATAAGCAAGGTCGCTAATGATCGCGACTTACAAAGCACCGGTATTCCCATAGGCTTTATATACATACAGCTGCCCAACCAGTCAGAGCCCATAAACCTGTGGCCACAGACTAATTGGTCGGATGTGACCCAACTATACTCCGGCCTATTTTTCAGGGCTGAAGGCGCCGGGTCACTGCCATTTGGACAAACTCAGCAGGCTAACTATTCATCTATTATTGGTTTAAAAGCTACCAGTGTCACTTTGAGCGATGGAGTTGATGTCACGGATGAGCGTATGTATGCCATACGCGAGGGTCAATGGAGTGGTACATCGGTGACTACTTTTATGGAGATAATGGCCCTCAATAGCATCCGGGTCTTTAAGACCAGGGGTGAGAATCGACCCGTGAATACGGCCGTAAGGATATGGAAACGTGTCCAATGACCGGGGTTTAAATGTTTATTAATTTAACAAGCTATGTTTAGAAAACTTATTTTTACAGATATATTATTAATAAACGTTACCCGTGTTTTTATTTACTGTATTACTAATAAATAAATAATTTAAGATTTAATAATCACAGACCATATAGTTGTATTAAATTATTTAATTGAGATAATTATACAAGTAAACAAGTTTTATTTCTTAATTTAAAATTACAAAACATATAATAATTTCATCACAAATTCTCAAATAATTATCGTCTGAATAGGTTAGTTGTCAAATATTTCACTTTCAGCCGGATAACATGCGAATTAATTTTCATAGATAATATAACATACGACAACTGACCACTTTTGCTATATTACTGTCCAAACCAGTGGTCGGTTCGTCACATAATATAAGGTTAGGCTTCCGAAGGGCTGTCAACTCGACAGCAATGGCCAGTCGTTTGCGTTCCCCTCCACTGCACGACTCAACCCTCGTGTCCATTGTGTCGGCAATCATCAGATCCGACATAACTGTCCGCACATTCATCTCGTGATCCATTTCCACATCCCTTTCCCTCGAGTTCTTCAGTTTCGAGGCGTAAATCATGTTTTGCTTTGCAGTCAAACTCATAATAAGGAACTCCTGTTCGTTGTGTCCGATAAAAGTGGACCTAATTTTGGTGACTCTACTCAACCGTATCTGCGATTCAGTACTCAATCGGAAACCATTCAAACCATTCAAAGCCCTCAACAGTGATGTCAGTCCCGCACCGGACGGACCCATAATAGCCGTCAGTTTCCCAAACTCTACCCAACCGTTCACTCCATTCAAGACTATTGTCTCGTTTCGGGTAAATACGGATCTAATCCTAAACCGCATATTAATCCACGCGATGGCTATCCCACCACTCATTGCATCGATTCATTCATTTTCACACCAATTGAATATATAATTATTTATTTATTTACAAACAAAACTTATATTAAAATTTATGATTACCCTTATGGTTTATAACAATTTATTAGTTTTAATTTAATACTAAATAAAATTTTAAAATACATGTCGGTTATAATGTATTTTTACATAATTATTATAAATTAATTACTAAACACTTACAAATTTTATTTATTTATTGCCAATTTATAAATAATATATTATATCTTGAATTTTTTACCCTTATGTTTTAATTTATTTTTATATTATTTAATTTTATATGTTAAAAGTGCAAGGTTAACTAGTGTAAATAAAAGTTTCTTCTACAGTATTGTAATATTATTATTGTATCATATGTTTTGAATATGATCATAGTTGCCACCAAGGTTATAATATATTAAATAAATATTATATAATTCAATAAATTTCTTATGTTTATATAAATTGTGTACATTGTTTGATTTGTTTTATATTTCTAGATATTGTACTTAAATATTGATTTTATAATTAACTTCTCATTTGCCATAAATATAATAAATTATTAAAAAT